AAAAAAAAAAAAAAAATCAATCATTCATGCAAAGTACTATATCTAAGAGCCGTCAGAGCCAGCCTTGGTCCCAGCTCCTGGCAGCTTATAAAGTTTTCATGGTATCCTTTGCCTCCACTGAGCTTGAACTGCTGTTTCTCCCAGGCGGTACAGAAGGCCCCATGGTGTTGCAGATTAGTCTGCATGCACCGCTTATCTCACAGTGCTAAGAGGCCCACCCGGGGTCCCTCTGCATCCCCAGCCCTGATGACCTTTGCTCATATGCAGCGCTCTTTCTTATTTTCTTCCACGAACAATGCCCAAGCCCATGTGTTGTAGCTTCTCCAGCGACAATAAGTTAAATTTTAATAAGAGAAGGAGATGGATAGCTACAAAACCGGACCATGAGCACAGAAAGGATGGCTGTCGATTCTGTGCCTGCAGTCGAGTCTCCTCTGAATTCAGAGCGTGAGGAATTGCTGTGTTGAACTCACAGTACTCATCATGAACGGCCGGCGCGGCTGGCGGGTATGAATGCCCCACTCACTGTGGAAAGAGACCCCTACTGAGGGAAGGGATATTTAGCTCATAGTCTTTGCTGTGGCCCAGCTGAGATAAACCCCTTGGCACTGACTCTCCAAGCAACTTTCCAAATGTCACCGCTCTTCCATGTCAGTGTTCCCTTGGGGAGAAGGGGTGTGGATAAAAAAAAAGCCTGAGTATTTTTATTTGCAAGATATATACAGTTTTCATCATAAATTAACAAACTGACATTCTGTTCTACCCAGCAAAGGAAACATAAAATGTGTATAAAGCAAAGCCTCTGATGTGGTGGCGGGCTGGACTGAGGTCTTGTCTTCCCGACACTCTGTCCCCTGCCACCCAGCCCTGCCCTTTCCCGGCTCCTCTGCACAAGTTCTGTCTATGGGAACTCACCCCACAGAGCTCTGGCTGCAAAGCAAAAGCACACCAAACAATGTGCCTATCCACAATGTTCTCCAGAGTACAACCATCTGTACTCAGCGTCACTCTTAATTTGGACTTGTAGCTCCCAGACATGCAGTCCTTAGGACCCTGTCTTCCGGAAGGTGATACTCACTTTTTCTGCCCGGAGTCTCTTGGCAGGACACCCGCCATCCCTGGGGTGCAGCATGTAATACAGTCGGACTTTGCTTGCATGTTTTCGACTCTGGGGAGGAAAAGCAGAAAGATAAACTGTAATAGTGAAGGCAATGGAGGAAAAGGAAGAGAATGAAGCACAGTCCACAACCACAACTGCAAAGAAATGCTTTCAAAACAAAAAACACTGCCTTATGGTCCTATGATTTATGCAGGGTATAGTTTCAGAAAGGTTAAATGACTTGCCCAAATCATAAAGCCAAAGTCATTTCAGGGTAAGTAATAAACATTGAGATCATCTACCTTAGAGTGGATGATATATTTAATTGTCCTAACAAGTAAGACAGCTAAGCAAGGGAAATAACATAAACCATGGGTTGTGATAAAGACAGGCTATGTGTCAGGCTTAGTGGTGCAAAACTGTAATTCCAGCTAGTCAGGAGGCTGGGGCAGGAGAATGGAAAGTTCAAAGCCAGCCCGAGCAACTTAGTGATACCTTATCTCAAAATCAAATTTACAGAGGGCCAGGGATGCAAGAACATGGCCCTGGGTTCAATCCCCAACACTGCAAACTGGAGAGAGGAGAGGAGGATGCGGGGAGGGCAGAGGAGTGAGGAAGGGAGAGGAAAGGAGGGGAGGGGAGAGCAGGGGAAGCGGGGGAAGAGGCAGAGAAAAGCGAAGTAGCAATTAAATTTTCTGTCTCATCCATGTGCCCTCCTCAGTGGTCAGGAGCTGAGATTCCTGGGCTGCTGGCATATACACCACCCCTAAAGCTTCCCTTCTTTCCAATTTTCTGAACCTCATTAAGCAGCTAGCAAGAGGGATTCTCCGAGGTCAAAGCAGAACAGACAAAAGATACTGTGTGCCAGTCTGAAAATGGCTTGGCACCCAGGCCACCTGCAAGGTGGCAGGAGTAGGTCAGCAAGTGGGGAAAGGAAGGCCCACTTCCTGGGACTCGCGACCTTGTGACAGCAGGCAGGGCCAGCTGGTCCAAGCCACTACGGAGAAACAAATATCCTCCTTCATTCTCTTTCTTCAGTACTGGGAACGAAGGCCAGGCCTTCACATTGAGCTACACCCCCAACCCCTTATGTAATTAATTTATTTTTGAGACAGGGTCCCACAGCGTTGCTACATGGCCCCGGCTTGGTTCAAACCTGTGATCCTCTTGCCTCAGCCAACCTCACGCTAAGCTATGAAATTCTTGCTGATGCTGACTTTCGTCCTTTGGGGGTCTGCAGACAGCCCACCTAGACTCCCATCGCCGTGCTGCTAACTCCCAGTTCCCTGTGAGGCAGAGAGAACGACCAGTAAGGAAGCATGGAACAGAAGGTCAGGGTCCCAACTTCACTCCACTGCTCGCTAGCTGTGTGACTTGGGCCAGTGACTGCAGTGCGTGCGTAGTCCAGATAGGTTTCATCTTCCCCATGTACAAAATGAACAAATTAATATTTACTAGGGCTGCTAGGAGAACCAAATGAGCCAGTGCATGTGAAAAATTATAATTTACATAATGCTAAATGCTTACTGACAGGCTCCAATTTCTAACACTGAATCCATTGCTACCTAATTCCAGTCTCCTTTTCTTCACTCTGAGGATGTCCTCTTCTTTTCACGGATTCTGCTCCACTTTGCTTTTTTTTACAGTTGCGTTTTAGCCAATCTCTCAGATGATGGTTTACTTTTATGGACGAGCCACAAAGGAAAAGTGGCTTTCAGAGAACACACAGCAAGTTACATCTCGTTTACAGGACACATTTTAAATACTTTCTGCCAGTCCTTCCCTGTTCATCACTTTTTAATTCCTTTATTCTGTCTAGAGCAAGGAGGCTCTAAAACAGTCCCTGGACACTGTAAAGGCCTCTAAATGGGTCTAAATGTACTAAAGGACCGTGAGAAATTTTTACAGATGTATGAAAGTACTGGAGCACGGTTTGAAATATATTCTCAATATCTGCATCTATTTCTAGATCCTACAGTCAGTTTTAACTGAGATTGTCTGTCTGTCTGTCTGTTTGCCTGGAGTGAAAGGACAGAAAAATAACGACCTATGTGGATATGTGTCAGATAATTCAACACCATTATTCAATTTCTGCGTGGTCAGAGCAACAACCCAGAGCAGCCTATTATTTTGTCTTGTTGTTCTTTTGAAAATAAGTAAGCTGATTACTGAAATACATTGGTATTTTCTACTGTTTTGTTGAGTTTGGGGAAGTAAGGGGTAGTGGTAATATTAGGAAGGCTGCTGTAGTCAAAACAATGAAAAAGAGAACACTGAAAAACCCACAAGAGGCTGAAGGTAAACATAGGCTGGGCTGGAGGAAAAGTACAACGTGGTAATTGGTGAAAAGACAGCACGGTGAATGTGTGAACTCAAATGCAGCCAACTTGGATTTTCAATTTTGCATTTGTTATCACAGAAGAACCTCTGATCATAATTCCTGCATCACCCGTCCGCACACAGCTCTGGAGTCCCAGAGAGCAAGATGGTGGCAAAACTGGAAATCTCACAACGCGATCTGTTTTGCTTGCTTGTTTTTTGCTTTTGTTTTTGTTTTTTTCCTTCTTTCCTAAAGTATTCTATTTCTTTTCCAAAAAAAAACAAAAAATGTTTCCAGGAAAGAGAAAGTTCACGGAGCTATTTAGTTTGACAAATCTAGTAAAAACCTATTAGCTGAGAAGAAAAGAAATGATGAGCTTATCTGTGAAGCCATCAGTGAAGGGAGCAGCTGGGACCTGACATTTAGTAGCAGGTTTGATGACTGCAGGCTCCTCTTGTCCTTCAGCTCCCCCACTACCATTCTTGGGGAAGAGAGCCCGACTATGCGCCCTGAGGTCAGGGATGGACAGAGTCCTGGCAAGACACCTGGCTGGAGGGCCAGTGGGGCAGGGGTTGCTACCTCACCACTGAGCACTTCCCTCTGCCTAGGGCCCCCTCCCATCATGTTCTCGGGGTTCCTTGAGGCACAGCCAATGCCTTCGCAGTTAACACCCCGACCCGGGGTGGTGGGGAGCGGTTCCCAGCAGACTGTTCCTGGATGGACTGCAGCTGGCCCTGCTTCTGACCTCAGACGCCAAGCTGAGCATGAAGCAGGGCCAGAGTCTGCTCCCTTCTCCTCAGCATCATCTCTTCCTCTCGGAGCCAGTTACGGGGTCTGCCCAATTGCTGTTCTCTACCTGCTACCCACTAGATAGTCGTGGAAATTTCGCACAGAAATCTCACTGCTTTCCATTTATTCTTTTAAAAAAGCATAAACTTCCCCACAGAAAGAAAAACACAATCAAATCCAAGCAGAGATGTTCACTGCAACATGACATCACTTTGAACAACCACAACATAAGCAAATGTAGGATAGACAGCCGCGTGTTCACCCGCGGGAAACCAGTCAGAGCAGCTCCACGGAATAACCCTATGCTTAGTACATGCTCAGAAAAAACGCTTCCTGCATAATGAGTGATGAATGAGAAATGCTAAACTCAAAACTGCATGTTAACTATGATTACAATAACATAACAGTTTGTAAGTATATTAAGAAGAGGTGGAAACAAAAACAGAAAAAGAAATGTGTTAGAGTGAGTTGGGTTTTGTTTTTTATTTCTATAACAAGTTTTCCTGTAATATAATAATAATAACTTTAAAATGCTCAAGCCATGATAATTCCACAATAGGAATACTTTTTATCCACGATTATATAGTTAATGAAAAGCCTCATGCACTGGAATGCTCAGTACTGGTATAACTGACCACATTTCCACTTCCTATTATTAATGGCTAACCAACAATAAAAATGAACCTTTTTCACTGCAACATTACCTGAGGAGCCCTTAGCCCAAGGACAATACATGCCACTTCGATTAAATTTTGGTTTGGCATATACAAATGCTCAGCAGACAGATTTGCCCGCCCCCGTGTCTACATGGGGACTCCAAGCAGGAAGACTAGAGCTGTCCACACAGCTACCCTAAGAAGAGCCAGAAGGGAACACGCATCTGAAACAGACTCCACGCCATCCACACAAGATGCAGGCAACCACCGCAAATCCTTAAGGTGTTTTCAAAGATTTATTAATACCTTCAATTTACACTGCTTTCAACAGTACGAAAAGGCAGACAGTCAAGCGAAAGCAACTTTAAAGAGAAAAAAAAATCCCACATGTTAAATGTATGTATTACAGAGCTCCAAGAAAGGAAAAAGAACCATCACTTCAAAGGAAAAGGCATGAAAAAGAAATCACCCTCTCCTTCAGTTGCAGAGAAGCAACCCCAGGCTTTTTCTTGCATTAATATTTGCATTTTAAGCAAAAGCCATTGCTTTGACTCAAACGACATCAAGTCTAAGTTTCCCAGATAGAGCAGAAATTACCAACTCTTCCATTTTAATTAAAACCTTTGCCCCTAACCCCAGGCATTGTGCAGGGTCAGGCCCATGTGAAGATTACTTTCTTTTGCTGAAACAATCCCTTGACACTCAAGGAAATTATCTAAAGTGGAAATTCAGGCTCATCTTCTCTTTGGGGGATAAAGAATAAGACAACCTCTATTTCAGATGTACAATTTGAAAAAGAAGGGGGCAAAAAGACATAAAAATAGACTGACTTTCCCTAAATAACTATCTTCCATTGTCACACATCCCTTGAAAGAATTCCCAACTCAAATTTGCTTTCATCAAGACTACTGATTTCTGGTCTTATAAAATGTAGAGATAACAAAGCAAGTCTGTATTTGAATAAACGCCTCCAGCAGTCTCCAGAACCTTTTCATATTTATCATCGCATTTCATCCTCAAATCCCAGTTCTGAGGCTTGCGGGAGAGGCGTTATCTCAAATAAGCTCTGCCATCCATCTCTGATTCACTAGATAAGTCTTTCACCATCTTATTTCATCAGAGGTCTCTAATTATTCCTCTTCCAGAAACCAGCTAAAACAAGCCAAGGACTTTAAGAAAAACAGAAAATCTGGAACAAACTCATAATTATGGAGGAATGATTTTCACAGGACACCGCCTCTGAGGCATTCCTACTCATTCAGGGCAAAAAGGAGGCCATTAGTGAAAAAACAAACAGACACCAA